TTACTGAGAATAAACAAACATGCATAGCTCCTTAAATAGCTGTGTTAAGTACCGGTATTCTCAACTGCAGGTGACATGTGGATAAACAGGTTTCCTTTGTGCACTGATGCAGTGATAATGTTATGGACAACCTTTGTCCTGTCTCATTCCTGTGGTCTCTTGTCATGTCCAGCTGGTCAGGGACTGGTCAGATTCTATGTATGAATAAACTGTAGAATTTACAACAGCAAATTCATATCAAAATATTACCAAATTTGTTGATTCATTATCTCTATTCAATCTTCAAGGGTTACAATTGAAGGACAAGTAACAAAAATCCTGCATAAAGAAGTTTTAAAATTTGTTCAATGTCTCTAAAATTAAAGTGTTCAGTTAAAAGATGGTTTTCTGTATAATTTTCAGCCATGGCTATCATGTTTCCTTGTTGTAATGTATATAAAATGACAAAATAACGTACTGACAGTACAGTATATAGTGATTACATTGCGTTGATACGCTTCTAAATCCAATTCCAATGAGTTATAAGCCTACCAGGACCATGTGTTTTCTTTGTGTTCTATAGGACAATTCTACTTTCAAATGTAAGGGTCACAGGGTTTTTAACATGTACTTTCAATAAATATGACCACAACCATATATTAACTCTTCGTCAATTTAACTGGATGAATAGCATGACAGGTGATAGTTGTTTGATTGGCTTTGAAAGAGCTTCTTAATGCACACCTAGTTAGTTATACATCCAAAATTGTTTTTGATATTATGACACTTTTTTCAGGGAATTTTCTTTCACTTATGATTATTATGGAACGTGTGGAATGTCTGCAATATAAACAAACATAACACTGTCTCTTTCAAACATAAAATAACTATATTAATTGTATCAAAAGCTGATCTTTTAAAAATGACCAACTTTTTAAAATCTGATACACCTTTCCTGTTTCATCGAATATTTCACTGACCTTTTTAATGAAAATTTTATTTACATATTATAAATTATTGATTTGTGCTAGAAACCTGGCTTGAGGTAAATATTGTATGTATGTAGGGTAGTAACAGCGTAGAATAATTGAATCTGTGCCTGACACACAGAATGGAAGAGATTGAGAGTAACGATCAATGTTCTGGCATTAACGTACCTTTACCTGCCTGATTATCATACACCTGAGGTAACAAGCAGGCAAAGCATCCTACCACAAAATTTACCATGTTTGTGTAATGCAAAAATCATGTCAAGTGTTTTAATGTTGGCGAGTTTATGCCGACATTGGGCGACCTCGTCACTGACAGAATAGCTACAGCTAGATGATCTGGTCACCACTGTTACCTCATCGATCCACACAGAATTTGTGCACACAAAATTTAAAAAAAAATACAAAACTGATTCATTCTTTGTTTTTGGCCTGTTTCTATTGATTTTATTGGTGTGTGTAAATATTGGTTCATATATTTATATTATTTTCTCTAATTTCATTACTACATTATAATATATTAGTGTGTCTGACCCTTCAAATCAATCATATAATTCAACACAAATTATTCATTTAATTATTTCAAGAGATATTTATGAAGACATTAAATATTTTTAACACCCTGCAGACATACCCAAGAACACTAATGCATCTTATGCATCCAGATTGCTGGATATCCCTTTCTTTTTTGTGCTTTCTATCTTAAAATAAAATAGCACATTATCCTGACCGAACCTGGACCCTGTGACATATAGTTCTGTGTTTTCAGTGACAGGTGTGCTATAAGTTCACCCCCTTAGAGTTAAAGTAGACATTTTAAGCTTAGTAATGTAGTACCAAGCTGTGCTATGTGCAGTGCCATCCTTTAGATAAGTGTATGGTGATACAAACCTACCCGAAGTCAGTATGATACATTGTTCTCCGGATAAAACCCATTGGAAAGTTAGGAATGTAGATGGACCTGCCTGACACTCTACTTTGGACACTTGAAATTCTGTATAGGCGTTATATTATGTGGATTGTTTAACACTGTATCATACAGAGGGGAGGGAAACAGCTCCTTAGGTCCCCCCGCCATCTGTGAGGTTCCCAGGGCCCCTTATAGCACTGTTCCCTATACACATATTTACTAAGCCGTACCTATGTGAACCACTAACTCAACATCTGTCATCTGTCCTGACTCTGATTGTGACAAATTTAATGTAAATTGAACAAAATTACCTAAATCCTGATCATGTGACAATTGTAATTGAGCAGTGGTGGTGAGTTGTTTCTGGTGGCTGTTCAACTAGGGTGATATGGTTTTGCAAGGGGGAATAGGAGACCTTTCCACCGAGCCAATGGGAAAGTGGGAAGCTAAATCTGTTGTACATGATTAGCAGCAATAAAACATTCAATATTTAATGTCACCAGACTCCCAGGCCCTTTGTGCTGTAATTATGTAAGGGGAGACAACAAATATAATGGGTGAGAATCGTCACATTTATAAACATGGGTTTTGTATCTCTGCAGATCTTGAGAAAGTCAAGTCTGACTTCATTAAATTGTTAAAAAATGCTAATCATTTTGTTTTTGGTAGAATTAAATTAAACAAATCTTTTTGTGTTAGCATCTATAATTAATACATAACATTTGATTTATAATTTTGATGATTTGGTTTATTTGAGTGAAGCCAGACCATTTCGGATAGAAAATTTGCTGGCCTGTAATTTCTGCCTATGCTATAAAACAGTAGGACCTGTTAATGTTTGGAAGGGTTGACTGTAAGGTACACCCCAGACCAGCCTCTGAATCTGTACTGAATGTTTACTGATGCAGCACTAGATCACTGATAACAGGTCAGGGGTCGTCACTCAGGATACATCTGTTTTCTATCTTGTTTACACAGATATTTACACTTGACACACAAATCTAGTACAGCACGACCAAACAAAATAAAAATTAATGGAACAAGAAATTGTTCCCCAACTTTCCTCCTGCTTGGTGTGTGTACTGGTCATCCCTCATTGCCATCCTCTGCCTCTGGACGACTAGCAAATCAAACATATAATAGGCTGCTAATTTCCGACATAGGTAATTGAAAATTTCAATATTGAAATTTAGGTATCTGTAGAAAGCAGTGTGGGCTAGCTTCTACAATTAAAGTATTTGACCTTATTAACTAAATAGTTTATTCCAATGGCCTGCTTGAAAAGGAAATATCACATTGAAAAAAAATACACTTGGTTGATTAAAAGGCCCTTGAAGTTTAAGTTTTGTATTTTAAAGTCTGTATAGTAAAATGATAGCTCTGAAATTTAAATCCTGAAATAGGCCTTAAATTAAGATGGAAAACCTTGAAATTTCTGTAGAAATTATTTTAATGATTATTGTATAGATTTTCTAGGAAATAAGGAAATACATGTATTATAATAGGGGAAAAGAAATAAAAAAATACACCAAAGAAACATTTTCAAGTTATTTTCTATGTATGATTAAAGTAAAAAAAAAAAAAATTTTAAATTTAAAATCATCCCCAATAGACACTGATATCGGAAATATGTGTAAACCTTGACTAGGTATATGTTGAACAGCACAGACTGGAGTGTGTTTATGGTGTAGTGTTTGGACAGGAGCTGACACATCGGACAGCTGCGATATATGATGATTACACTTACTGTAATTTAAACACATTTGGTGTGGTATTTATTTTCACTTTATTTTGGGTATACTAACATCATGTGAACTATTATTTTGACATAACTTGGACATAGATGCTGAGTGAAAGGTAAAGTGATGTTGTTGCCGATAAATTAACAAAGGTGCCAGTAAATGTGCACAAAAAGTAAATAATCTGCAGTTCACTGTTAATATCACACATCTCCTAAACATCAGCTATGATTTTATTGATTCAAACCATCTTTTTAGAAGTACAGGTAAAAATTACGAGAAACAATGTATTCTATAAATAACCAGATGAAATATTACCCTGTTTTACACTGGTGGGTTTGTGTTGACTTGGTCCAGCTGACCACTGGACAAGGTGGACACATTGGACACATGTCTGTTGTTGGATGATCTATGTATAGACACAAGTCACCATGTGGTGACAGAGTTGTTCTTTACCTAGAACCTGTCTCTGTGTGTAGGGTGGGGGTGCTTATCATTAGCAATGTGTCTGGGTCACAGAGATGTATGTGTGACCTTTCAACCCACCTGTCTTACCTGCGGGCTGTCCAGGATGGTACGTCTGGGTCCTATACAATAACTGACAGTACCTATCCTCCCTCTATAGCCGCTAACAATACCAGCTGGTTAGGAACTACCTTTTACAGACTCTCTCCATGGATTAATCTCCTCATTTACCACATTCTAACAAATTCTGTCTGGACCAATTTGTATTAGTTTTCAGTGAATAAGATTCCCTTGGCTTCTAATAATCTTAGCTGACCTAGATGTGTTGTTGGTTTAGTTTATGTGCAATATATTAGGTGAATAAGTTAGCATCATTTACATTTGTATCATATACACTGTAGATATTTTACAAGTGAAAATATCCTGCACTAAAGGAATCTTGTTGATAGAAAATGAGATAAAATACACCTGTCACAGGGGTCCGGGTGGCTAGGTGTAGCCTATTATCACCCAGGAAAAAATATATATATACAAGTGTGTTCTTGACCCTGCCCTTGTCGCCGCTCCAGGTATCATTTTTTTACAATTCCTACCTGAAACGATAGCGTACTACATCTGTCACTTTGCCAGAAGGTTACAAGGTTTTGTCTACTTTCTGTAAGACAGACATTTTCTCACGGCAAGGTGTTTAAAATATTCTTTAAAAGTTGCTATTTTTGGACCAGAAACGCACCTTCATGGTCATCCATTCATGGAGTCCGACACTTGGCACAAAACACTGGTCTTTTACCGAGTTAGAAATTGAAAGTTTGAATGTTGTGTAGAAATTTAAAATGTCTTTTCTAACAATTGCAAACACTATCCTCTAGTGATAATGAGACAGGGACCTATTTTTCAAATATTTTACTTATTTTTCAGGTTTCCACGGCATCCACTGTCAAGTTAACAATGATGACTGTGCAAACAGCAACTGCAGCAATGGGTCAACTTGTCGGGACGGAATCAACACCTATACCTGTGAATGTCCCCCTACTCACACTGGTACGTCAGGAATGAATTTAGAAAGTTTCTGTCTAGTTCCCCTTCAAAAAGTCCTAACACATAAGCAACAAGAAAGCTGTCAAAACCCAAACAAACAACCAAGAGTATTAAATAATAATATTCCTTATAGATTTGATGACATCAATACCTTGACCAACAACATGCACAAACGAACATGCATTCAAGACAAAAATGTATCCCTTTTCTTGTTCACATGAAGAAGATACAAAAATTATGTCATACCAGGATGTAGATTTTTTTTATCTCACACAGATACAAACATACTGGGTGGACAAAGTAAGAAAATTTGCATCTTTCTTAACCGACATTTTATTGTGGGAAAATATAATATTTGTCAAGTCAGTTTTCTCATGAGAAATGCATGATTTATATTACGCAATACATATTTTGTATGAATGGATGATTTTAATGAGTTGTTTAATTTCTCCTTAGCTTAATCTTCATATCAAAAGGAAGGAGGGGGAAACTTTATCCTATTTTAAATATTTTTAAAAAGTATTTACTACACAAGTTACCTGACTAGGAAATATGTGACTAGCGTGAGATTTTACCTGTCTCATTGTGTGGACATACCTGTACAGAATACTGGACCAGCTCTCAGTAACGGGCAGGTGTCGACACTTCTAATGAATGCATCAAGGCCCGGCCAGTTTTTTGGAGGGAAATAAGGGGATCAAGTGGGAGGGAGTAGTAAAAAAAAAAAAAATGTAGGTTATGTATAAAGGTTGTTGGGGGGGGGGAGGATGGGACTAGTGTCCTAGAGATAATGAGCCAAGATACTGAGGATAGCTTACTTTTTATGATTCTGATACAGATTACACCTGATCGAAAATTCCATTCTGACAGATTCCCAAAAGAGATTGGGAAAAAGAGGGTTTGAATTTACAAGGGTCCGCTGGGAGATTGGGGTAGGATTAGAAGGGGAGACGTTAGGTGGAGAGTATTTAAGGGGTCCAGGGTGTAGATGTGATCAGAGATAGCCCAGTCTGGGGACCTGTTGCGACAGCCTGATGTTTTTGTTTTGGCGTTGGATAGAGATGTCCTGATACGGGCTTACTGTACCGGTAGTGTTTGAGGGCCGTTCTGGAGCAGATCTTTGTCATTGACATACACACACTAACAGCTTTGTTCTCAACATTTAAACCTCTTTTAACTAAAACACATTATTTCACCTTTGTTTTGATATTTCTACAAGCATTTGTGGAAAGAAGACCTTACAATGTGGGAAAAGGGTTTGATTTCAGCAGAACTATCTTATAAGTTGTAAATCATGTGAGTCATTAGTTTGCTGTTTACTTACGGTTAAAAAAGAAGCAACACTTCCTTTGACAAAGTAACAAATAATTGTGAAAAACATAATACTGTATACATAGACTTTGTGAGTTTCCTGTTTGTGTTTTTGTTTTTGAAGAAGAAAACGGGGCAGTCTCATGCTAATGGTATGAAACATAATTCCTCTATTCTACTACAAAAGTTTTAAAAAAACAAATATCCTATGCATGGAAAACAAAGCAGCCATCTTTCTTGTGGGAAAAAAATTATTCTCTCTGATAAAAACGATTACCGAGTAATAATGCTACAGACGATCAAAGTTGATTTGTAATACTGACGTTTTTCAAACTTTTTAATACCATATTTATTACTAACACAACCTTTTAAATAGTATCTGAGATAAAAGAGCAAGATAGAGATTTGAAAAACATATCCATTATCCGTTAAATTGTCAAAGTAATAAAAGGTTAGATGATGTGTGGGGATGGGCTGATGGAAGAAGTTGTGTATTTTTACATTTAACTGACCATCCTATCTGTTAGACTGTGGGGGGCTGGTGTGTGCGAAAGGGACAAAGTTGTGATGTCCAATTTGTCAACAACCAGAAAACCTGTGACCATGTCACTGGAAAGAAAATACAATGAGAAAAAACACTTTCCCATGGCAGCTTTACTCTGCTGTGATTAATTAGCCATCAAAAGTTAACACAGCTATTGAAAACCTCAAAATATGGTGCATGTGAACGGACCTCAGGCCGGTCCACACAAAGGCAAAGTGTCGGCCCGCTATAATTACTGAAGACATATTTTTTGAGAGGTTCATTGGGCTGTGTGAATTGTGCTTGAGATGAGGACACAAGATATTGGGATTAAGGCAAGCATGTTGTCAGAGTAACCAACTTCTGTAGACTCAAGGCCAACACTGGTATTTCAGTGGAATGCACCTTTGCTATTTTTTGTTCATGACTTAATACAATAGGTATGAAGGAAATTTCATATTCTTTATACAGATGTACTGCAGAGATTAAAGGGATACCTTGTGTTTCTGTCGTTAAATATTATATGAGATGACTGTCGTGTATTGTTCTGTTATTATTGTCGAACAGGTAGAATAAAGCCAGTCTGATTTGTAAGTCAGAAACCAGACTGCTGTCAACTAGCACAGTAAATGGGATAAGCAATCAAAACAGACTGTTGTTAAAAATAAAACACCTTCCACACATATGATGTAGCATCCGATCTGTGATTGAAAGGAAATGAGAATTCACTCTATCTAAAGAAGTTTTGATATCTGAAATAGTGTAGCATTAATTTCTGGTAATCCAAGCCATTTACAGTTTGAAAAATGTTTCAAGCCATTTACAATTTGGAAAATGTTTCAAGTCCTATATATTACAGTAAACATATAATAAAACTTTTCTACTTTTTAAACCCCCTCATAGAATTATGTAGGATCTTTTAATCTTCATGATTGACTCAAGTTGTTCTGGTTTATTCGTTGATAAGTGCATGAACATAGTGGGAAATTTTCAAAATCTACAAGCCAATCTATGTTTTGGTAATAATGTTGGACTCTTCTAGTCCCAGGGCTATTAAAACTGTACATGTTTTGTGTTTTGTTGATAGTGCAGTTGCAATAGTGTAAAGTCTGAAGTGTTCAGCCCAGCTCCGTTAGTGTGGTGTCTGAAATCTTGTTCATTCAGTCTACTAATTCCATACTTTTTTTGTCTAATATGTACGTTAATATCAATATTTCAGGCACTTTCTGTGAAACAGATGTGAATGAGTGTTTAGTGATGCCAGGAATATGTAAGAACGGCGCCACCTGTATGAACACACCAGATTTTGACTATACCTGCATCTGCGTCAATGGCTGGGCTGGACAAGACTGCAGCATCAACATCGACGACTGTCAAACCCAGCCCTGTCTCCACAACGGAACATGTCACGACCATGTTGGCTACTTCACTTGTACCTGTCAACCCGACAAAACAGGTATGTTCTCCAGCACATCCCGAGCACTGTGTTGTTAGTAACGACCGTTTATATTAATGATCACAAATTATCACATAGATCCTTCTCTGTAGAATTGGTTAAATTTCCAAATGACTCTGATCTTTTTTTTAATGTTTGATTTCCCCTCATTGCTTTAGAGTTTGCCATCACTGCCTGTCTTTTGGAGATTTCTTGATATGTTGGACTGCAGAACTTGTTAATTCATTTGCGTATCCCAATCATTTTACAGCAACTCTGAATTCTGTCTGTTCTTCAAAGCTTTCTTCCTACAGACTGGTTATCATTGCAAATCTCTTTTATTTCACAAATCGTAATGTAAGATGATATAGTGCATGGTAGTCTTGGTTTTCTACAAGCTTGACATTGCTGATTGGTCATAAAATGACAGCATTCTTACTATAGCTTTTTACAAAAACTTTGAACAAGGCGTGACAAATTTAACTCTCAGCATGGTATTATATACTTATGTCACCTTTTTCTGTATGCCTACCAGCCTCTGCGAGGATGGTGCATATGTTGCATGTCACTAACTATCTATCTTGTCTCTCTGCTTGTGTGCACACCTGTACAGGTCTGCGCTGTCACATGAATAATGCCTGTGTGTCGAACCCATGCCAGAACAACGCCATTTGTGAGGGTTCCCCCATGGACGGTCAATACCGGTGTGTCTGCAGACCGGGATGGACTGGTGCTACATGTGAAACGGACCTCAACGAGTGTGAAGATGGTAAGAATCTGTTTTTGTAACGTATTGACAAATTGTTCAAAATAATTGTACAGCAATTTTTAAAACCGTTTGATTTTCATTAAAAAGAAACAAACGTTACGTGTCTCATCAACTGTCTAATAGGGTTACCTTCGATCCCTACAAACTTTTCTAAACTATGAACGTCAGAATATAAGTCTAAAACTAAACCAATCAACAATAAGACAACCATTGTGTGTATTTTTGTCAAAATTAAAACAAAACAAAAACACAAAAAATAGGTCTTTGAGGAGAGTGTTAGAATCATGGGTTGCAGTAACGATGTGGCAATATTTATGTTTACAGCCTCTATGGTCATCTGTGAGCATGGCGGGACTTGTCAGAACACTCAAGGCAGCTACTACTGTGACTGTCGCCAGGGATTCAGTGGCCCCTTATGTGAGGAAAACATCAATGAGTGTATTTCCAATCCCTGTAAGAATGATGGTACATGTCTTGACAAGATGGGCAGCTATATCTGTGTCTGCATGCCAGGTAAGTTCATAGATCCTTTACACTGTACCATTCTGTCATTAGAACCCTCATTTTCACTGTGGGACAGTTGACCAGTTTCTAAATCACCCTGACATTGGTTTCAAGAAATCTCTGAGAACTTTTCCCCAGATTTAATTTTTACATAGGAAAGCATTAATTAAGTTTATGAAAAAAACGTGTATGATATTCAATCTTTTAATTACAGTATTTTGAAGAGAGAAAAAACATCTGCTCCAATGTCTAGTTAAGAGTTTTTAAAAACTTATAGATATGGATAACTAGGTAGTAGAGACATTACCATAGACAGGGATACCTAGGTAGTAGAGACATTACCATAGACAGGGATAACTAGGTAGTAGAGACATTACCATAGACAGGGATACCTAGGTAGTAGAGACATTACCATAGACAGGGATAACTAGGTAGTAGAGACATTACCATAGACAGGGATACCTAGGTAGTAGAGACATTACCATAGACAGGGATAACTAGGTAGTAGAGACATTACCATAGACAGGGATACCTAGGTAGTAGAGACATTACCATAGACAGGGATAACTAGGTAGTAGAGACATAGACAGGGATACCTAGGTAGTAGAGACATTACCATAGACAGGGATAACTAGGTAGTAGAGACATTACCATAGACAGGGATACCTAGGTAGTAGAGACATTACCATAGACAGGGATAACTAGGTAGTAGAGACATTACCATAGACAGGGATACCTAGGTAGTAGAGACATTACCATAGACAGGGATAACTAGGTAGTAGAGACATTACCATAGACAGGGATACCTAGGTAGTAGAGACATTACCATAGACAGGGATAACTAGGTAGTAGAGACATTACCATAGACAGGGATACCTAGGTAGTAGAGACATGACCATAGACAGGGATACCTGGGTAGTAGAGACATTACCATGGATGCCTGTCATTATGAGGCAGAAAGACCGAAGTGATACGAGTATCAACAACTGTTGTAGAGATTACGTTGTTCAGTTTTGTATAGATCTAGGTTCAGTATCCATATAAATGACAGTCCATCAGCTACCCGCAACTCACAGGAACCCACTGGACCGGAACCGTCCCAGGTATCCAGGCTAAATGGAAGGAATTTGAAATTAGTGATATTTTAAGAGGTTTACACATTGTTAATGTATGCAGCAGAGCAGGTCGGAGTTGTTATTGGCGGTCACAGGTCATCATGGTGAAGTGTGGGAAAAGTTGACTAACATTACAGAGGCATACAGAATGATACACATAACTCTGTTTGTTGTTGTTTCCCTGTATGTACCTATATGTCGGTAACAGTTGTACATCTGTATGGGGTTTTGTTGTTGTATCCCTGTATGTTGGTAACAGTTGTACATCTGTATGGGGTTTTGTTGTTGTTGTATCCCTGTATGTACCTATATGTCGGTAACAGTTGTACATCTGGATGGGGTTTTGTTGTTGTTGTATCCCTGTATGTCCCTATATGTCGGTAACAGTTGTACATCTGTATGGGGGTTTGTTGTTGTTGTATCCCTGTATGTACCTATATGTCGTTAACAGTTGTACATCTGTATGGGGTTTTGTTGTCGTTGTATCCCTGTATGTACCTATATGTCGGTAACAGTTGTACATCTGGATGGGGTTTTGTTATTGTATCCTTGTATGTACCCATATGTCGGTAACAGTTGTACATCTGGATGGGGTTTTGTTGTTGTATCCTTGTATGTACCCATATGTCGGTAACAGTTGTACATCTGGATGGGGTTTTGTTGTTGTTGTATCCCTGTATGTACCTATATGTTGGTACATCTGGATGGGGTTTAGTTGTGGTGGTTTGACAGTGGTTATCATCCATAACTCATGTCTCATTGTTCTTGTCTGCAATTTTTAAGAGATCTTTGACATTTAATTTCAATAAACCACATCATATTTAAGAAATAGATAGCTAGCACTTGTATTAAATGTTTATTGGTAATTTGTTTCATCACTTAAAGTCATTGGTGTTTGTAATTTGCCAAGTGGTGATCAATTGAAAGCTTCGAAGGTCAAAGGTAAACAATAAAAATATATTTTACTTAATATTCACAACTCCACACGAAAATGCATAAAAGTACATACACAGGGAAAAGTTTCCTATGATACTGAAGTGAGTGTCCCAATTCATATGAAAAGGTAACGAAAGTCTGCTCAGTATAAGAAATAAACCGACCATTTCCTTCCTTGGTATAACTCACACTTGTGGTCAGTAGTTCCTTACATTTACTAAACGAGATTCTGACACTTAATAAAATGCTTTTGATTCAATTCGAAAATCAAGAAAATTCAAAACTGGTAAAAGATAGAAGCCATGTAAACCTTGATATTCAGCAGAAAGTCAGTTGTTTAGTAAAACATGTGGTTTTCATTTAAAAACATCACTATGGTGAAGTTGGGCCTGTTTTCAATGTCTTATTTCTGATTTTGGGTGTAACTGTAGAAGGACCAGGTCTGATTTCGAGATAGGTGGTACTGGCTCCACAAAGGGGAGTAATCGGGTGTGACGTGGAGAGGGACAACCAACACCATTGTCTTACTCCCCACCATTGCATGTCAAAGCGCCATGAAACGAATCTATCCATTGGAATTTTGAATTCTAAAATCCAGAAACCATCCAAATGTGAAATTTAAAGTTAAGCGTTAAAAAACAGTGGAATGGATATCATTTGTTTGAAATCTTCACCTCTGTCTGTATCTGTTTTATTTGATAGAGCGATACCAAGTGATTAATACATTTGGGTAAGGGGGAGGGGGGTTGTTATCACGGATGATTCCAGATTTAAATGCCATAGGTGAAATAGGCAAGCTATGTTTAAATGTGTCGATATAACATTGGTTGTTTGAGCTTATTTGGCATAGAAGGTGAAAAACCTCAGTAGACTTCTGTGTACAAATTGCAATTCATTGCATCAGTTTTTGTAAGTAATTTATCATAAGGACATATATAGGTAAGACTGGGTGTGTGTGTGTGTGGTGCAGGGGGATGCAGGATAATTTCGTCAGTAGGACATCACAGAGCACAGAGCTCTTTGTTTTAAACAAATAGCTTGTTTGATAAATAAAATGTCTTTAAATTTACTTTCTTATTTTTTAAAAGAAATTGATAAAATCATGCTCTGTTTCGTTTGATAAGCTATAACAAGGTTGGTATTATGAGGAATAATGAAGTAAGTGTAGAAATAATCTACCATATTTGATAACTTATATTGAAGCGATGGAAATGTGTTAAAAACATCACAAAATATTGTATATATAAAACTTGATATTTCTCCCATTTGAATATTTAGTGACGGGACAACATGATAAGCAACATCAAACTGTACAGACGTGACATACTTTATAGCGTCTACCAAGACTTAACAACAGAAAGAAATTCAAAGTGGGGAAAACCTAAAGATAAAACAAATCTATATACAAGTATGGTTATATAATGTTAATTACATTTCACTGATTTGATGATAAGGCCAAGTTCCCACAGTTGAAAGGATCAGGTGGGTCCAGATAGGGGGGACAGGGGAGGGGGTCACAGCTAACATGTGGCAGTCTAACTCAGCAAATCATATTCTATAAGTAATGTTTTTGAAATTAGAAATAAATACTCTGACAGTGGTGAGACCTGCTGTGTTAGGAGGTGGGAGGGGGAGAACAGCTTTCCCCTTCTGTGTTGCTGTGGTGATGGGGTCTGTTCCCACGGCTATGGAATACTTAGGCTGGAGTTAAAAAAGCAGAAAACAGCCCCAGCGCTGGTGAAGTGTGATAAGATCTGCCCGGGGAATGTTGTTACATACACACCAGAGTTGTAGGGGTACTGGGGCGTGGACACTACTCTATCACAATTCTCAGTATACCAGCTATCTTTTAAATAATAAAACTACACCTCTGTATGTAATTTTGACACCTTTATCAATCTTTTTTCGGTGAATTTCAAATATCAGTAATTTAGATTGTAAGATTGAAAGAACTGTTAGCATTTGAAAGTGAGTAAAATCACTTTAAATGTATCAAGAGGTTGTCTTTTCTGTTAAAAAGGAAGAAGGGGAAATTAATCTGATTAAAAAGTTCAATATTGAACCACAACAAGGCATCAAACAGAATTACGGATTGTGTTCTAAATATGATAAGGGCTTGTGTGACAATTATTTTTTTATTTTTAAAGTATCCGTATAGGTGTCGTTTTCCCAACACCCCATAGCTATAGCAGTGGCATACAGACCTTTTGTAACTATATCTGTGTGTGTGTGGGGGGGGGGGGGG